TGTATCTATAAAAAAAAAAAAAAGAAAGAAAAAAAAGAACGTTAAACATAAAAAAAATGTCTTTAATATATATATATATATATATATATATATATATATATATATGTGTGTGTGTGTGTGTGTGTGCCGGCACGTGTAATGTGCTGTCTTTATTTTGCTCATATAAAGTTCTATAAAAAAAACCCGCACCAGAAAAGAGAACCCATCAATGAGATTAAGATACATTTCTTTTCTTCTATAGTGAATCAAAAAAGTAAATCTTTGAAACTCTATTTCCAACATTCCCAGGCGAGGCATTTATTAATTTCAATGTTTTCAATTATATTTCGTCCCCAATAACTTTCGAGCTAAATACTTTATTTTAGGATGAATATTGAACCATTTAATTGTGTTCCTTGCTGTTTGGCTGAAATATTTCTAACTCTTACCATGTGTCGCTGTTCGATCCCACAAGGTTTTAAAGAGGTTTATTTTTAAGCGAGTGTAAAATATTTTCTACACTGGGTTACAGTCCGTCCACACTTGGAAGCCTGGCGGAAGGATTTGTCTCTTCTTTAAATTCTGAGATGTGTAGTTCACAATTGGCACTATTTACATGCAGAGTATTGTCCTCATCGTTGTATAACCGACTTTCACTAATCTGAGTAATTTACAAGAGTTACTGGACGTTTTTTATTTAATCTGTTGGAGTAGACTATTCTCTTTCCACTGCCCATGTCTATGGATATCTCGTCTAGTTCTTATCTTTTAGTACAGCTCAATTATTGCGCTCCCTTTTTCTACTGCGTCAAAGTAAACACTACCCGGATCAGGGATTGAACTCCTAATTACTATATAATAACTATATCACCAAATTCACTAACTGACATTGTTTCATTATTTGTTTTTGTTCTTTTATAATCTATTTGACCTTGTGAAGAACTAAGCTAACATTGGTAAATCTTAATAACCGTTTCACTTGTGTTCTTCCCCATTTAACAGAAATAGTATCTGTCTATATTTCTGAAATAAGGTATTATGTACATTATTTACATTATTCGGACTATTGTCCTCATCTTTGTCGCCATATTTATTACAACGTTCCGGTCGTTGTACGCTCCGACATCCTTCAGGTGGTTGGAGTGTCGAACTGAACCCTTTATTTAACTCACTGGGGTAGACTGTCCTAGTTCCAAATTGCCATGTCTAATAGATGTCAGTTATCAGTTATCTCCTGTTAATTACCGTCTTCAAGTTCTCTATCGCCTTAACCAGGTATTGAACTCACACTCTTTGGGTCCTGTCATTGGATCTGACTAAAGCCTTTATCCACTGTGTCATGTATCCTTGACAGGACCCAAAGTGTGTGAGTTAAATACCTGGTTAAGGCGATTTGAGGCCTTTCTTATGAAATACGGAAAGGTAGCGGGCTTTGTTACCGGCGACTTTACGCTCTCAGTACCCGTGACACGCAAAGAATTACTAAATATCCCCATTTTCAATGATAAGGAGCTAGGTGAAGCATCTCCTCCACCTCCATTAACAAATCAAGTTGCATTTGGCTTTTTCGGCTTTCGCTAAATGAAGCGACTACCTGCAAGGGTAAGATCACAGAAGGCGGAATTTTCTTGACATTGAAGAGGGTCAGCAGTGGCAAGTCGCCGTGACTTGATGGTCTGCCCTACGAATTGTGTTTGATACATCTTTCTGCCGATTTTGACTGTCATGTTTAACAACTGGTTACGGCAGGTGACCCTCCTCGACCGGATATCCAGAGTTATGATCGCGCTGTTGAAAAAGCTCAAGCATGATAGTTAATTGCAGGCTCTTCACTCTGCTAAACACAGAGTTAATGATTTTTGTCATGATCCTGACGGAACGTTTGAAGTCATTTGTCAAGATTCTATTGGGACTCGTACAGAAAGGACGGACAATTCAGAACAACCTGCACGATCAGATAAAGGGTGTAAAAGACAACGAGCAAGCCGCGCTGATCAGTTTGAATCAGTCCAAGGCGTTCGATAGAGTCGACCATCAGCACCTGACTGATGTCTTGCAGACCGCCGGATTCAAACCCGACTTCTGCAAGTCGATCAGCCTCAGTCTATCGCTCCCCCAGTGCTGTGGTACAGGTGAACGGAAAGCGGCCGCGCGCTTTTGCGCTCTCTCGGTCAATTCGTCAGGGTTGTCTTCTGATGGAACTACTTTACGCTTTTTATTGGAGCCCTTTCTCCGCTGACTAAAGGACAGAGCATACAGACCGACCTTACGTGGAACTGGTGACCCTAAAGTGGCTCGAGCAAGGGTTTCCGCGTACGCCGATGACGTATTCATTTTTGTGTTGTGCCGCAACGACATTGTGGTGATACAGAAAGCGCTTGCATGGTAGTAGATCACGGGAGCCAAGATTAACTGCAAAATGTCTTCTGATTTGCGGTTATGGTGCCTGGAAGGGCGTCGCTCTTCCGAGGACCTTTCGTTGAACGGACGTATCCCTTCGCATTCCTGGAATGTTGCTCGGGCCCGGGGCCCAGCCAAAGAAGAATTGGTCGGAGGTAGAGTCTGGACTCAGCTCTGAAGGCAGTTGCACGTGAAGGGTGCGCCACGTACGTCTTCTCCTTTACCGGTTGTCTGTACCTTCGCTCTGCAAGGACCGTAAGAAGGCGCTCGAGCGCTTGTTCTCCTCCCTGTGGGGTGGTGGCCAGCATCAGGTCTGCAGAGAGGTCAGTGCCCAACGTCCGTGTCATGGAGTGATGGGAATGCCACACTTGGTGAGTTTTAGCTTACCTTATTGATTCGGAATACGTTATCTCTCAATCCCATAGCATTCAGAGAGAGCTGAGTGGATTTGCCCAGCTGACATCGGCGTGGCCTTTATCTTGAGGAAACGAATACATACGTCTTCTACCACTGTCCTCATGTGCGCCTGTTCTGAGACTATGTTGGCGAGTTGACGGCTCGTATCTAACCAGAACTTATCGTGTCCATCGTTCTTGTATGCGAGTGCGATAATGCGTCGCATTCGTTTCTGGTGTAAGGCGAATGGTGCTTCTCTAGTCGTGGCAAAAATGGCCGTATGGACGTATCGAATGCGGGAAATCTTGTGATACGAACGCTATTCTCATCAGGATCTGGTCAGGACGAAAATCAGAACTGATAGAAAGCGTTTGTTATCGACAGATTTCAGAGAAAGGTGGGTAAAATTGGGAAGCTTGGTTCGAGTAAACGGGGCCTGCCTAGATTTTCTTTTCTAAAGTCCTCTTTTGACACAACGAGGCTGTTTTCTGTCGAACCCACCCCAGGTTAAGATGGACCCTCTTTGCGAGTAATTATTGTTCCCGACCTATTCCCGACATTTTCTTTTGTTATGAACCATATCGAGATTTCCAACTCCCCAGTTTTTTTCTCCCCCCGTTCGTATTTCATCTCAACTGGGCCATTCTTTAATTTTCTCTCTTCACCATTTATTTTTATCCTTCCCTCTTCCTTAGTGAATGAAATTCTTGATTCTGTCTATTCGCTGAATACAGCGGAGCTCGTATTCTTGTTTGGTGGATGGGACCTATTACCTTCTATTAACTTTAGTTTGAATTTCTTTTTTTTGGTTCATTCTCTACCGCTTAATTCAGGATAATGTATTTTTATATATTTTATAAGGAAAAAAAGTCTTTGGGATTTTTAATAGATTAAAAATTTTATGAAATGGGAATTTTTTTAAGTTTCCTGTGAATATTTGGTATTCAGGTATATGTAGGATTTTAATGGTAATGAATACATTCTTGTGATGAATGAGCAAATTGTAATGGATGAACGGGTCGTGAATCTGTTTAGCTAGGTCTAGGATATTTAATGTTAACCAGCCTTACCCCACTTCCACTTCGGCCTTGTGCCTAAATTGTTATATTTTATACAATAAATAATCGTTTCGTAATAGAAAGGTCGGGAGAGAAGAAGGAGATTTTATGAGTAAGAAAGGACGAGAGAGATCATTGGAGATGTTTTTTATTTTTATATTTTAAGCCTTACATTCGTAAAAAAGAAATAATAAAAAAACCCAAAAAAACAAAACAAAAACACACACACGCAAAAATACGTAAAGCATAGTGACATCTAAGTTTATATACTTCATAATATAATAGATTGGAGGATGGCAGTAAAATGTCGTAAGCCGAGTCGTTTTAAGGAGAGAAAATTATTAAAGCGAAAAAGTCAGAAGAAATTAAATAGCAAAATCAACAGAGTAAAAAGAAAGCAAACAAGGAAGAAAATAAGGTTATGCGCCATGAGAAAATCGAAATGAAAAATATAAGTACATACAAAGAATATAAAAGACACTACAGGAAGAAAAAGAAAAAAAAAAAGCAGACGATCGAAAACTGTCATATTGAATAACTATTTTGTTCTTATCCTTTAGTTTATCGAAACCGGAATTGAGAAGAGCGTGGCAGTAGCGAAGAAACGTTTAACGGAAGTATTATTTTTTTTTAATCTTTTTAGATTTTCTTTGTCTAAATTGTCTAGCCGTTTCTTTGTAATTTAGAGCTGATTAATCAACCATTCTTATTCAAATCAAGAAAAAGCAAAATAAATATATTAGAAAACCATCATTTCCATGCCTTTGCTAAGAGAAGAAGAGTTTTTTTAAAAAAAAAAAATTAACTCCAAATTTTTTCAAAATTTCGGTCACAAGTGCTTTTTTTTATTTAAATTATTTACAAATGAACGCGGTGAATGAAACGGTCGATTGGTTGGTTGGATTTGTCTAGCGACATATCAACGTTTAGGGATTATTTAATACCGAAATCTAAATATATTTTGTACACAATTTTATTTTACTTTTGGATATAACAATAGTTTACTGATACAAGTTTTACTATTTAACCCATAAATGTGAGGTCGATTCATGCCTTTCCCAAAAGTATTTGCGAGTAAGTGAATATAATGAACCTGACTGGAATTGGAACTCGGATCTCCAATTATCAATTCCGAGTCATTATCTGTTACACCCCCGCACATCCAAGCTTACAGCGTCTAGTATTCCCAAGAGGTCACCCATCAAGTTACTTTCCAGGCTCGACGTTGCTTAAATTCGGTGATCGTACAGAAACCGGTATTTCAACGTGATGTGGCCGTAAGTCGGGGAACAGTCGAAACGTTGTGATAACGACAACAAAGATAAGGACAATAAATAATGATAACACCTCATCCCAGAAATTCAGACGCAAGTGCTTCTACTTATAACGAAACAAGAATAATTCACCCTGATCCGAGATGGATCCGAGATGGATCCAAGATGGATCCGAGATGGATAGGAACCTGTTAGAGTTCCAGCTATTGGTAAATAATGGCCCCTTAACAAAAACGCTATATGTATAAAAATACATTTTAATAGTAAAAATCCCAGTAATATATTTTTATATAAAAAGACCGTCAATGCATAATGCATTTTATCTTTATTTGAAGACATAAAATTTCGTTCAAAATGTTTAGTTGAAGCCATAAAATTCTGTTCAAAATATTTATATTTCGGCATTAAATAACGCAGAGAGGTATTGATATAGCACTAAAACAACCAAGATGATCTTTCATGATATTAATCCATATCATTTCCGACAGTTTCTTAAATCGAACTATGCTCCAAAATTTAACTTAAAAAATATAAAACACAATCACCACCTCTAGTAATTATCTCCTCTTATATTCACAATTTTTAATCAAAATTCAACGACCACAAATAGAAATTATATTTATTGAAAGGTAAAAGGATAACATTTTAGCATCTGCAAACATTTAGTCCCAAACATGAACCCAAATCTCAAGAGGAGCCCAAGAATACATTTTCCAGATGTCCGTCGTTCACTTGGTTACATCATCATTATCCTGCGGCTTCAGCCGAGATTGAACTCACTACACCTCTCTAGTATTCCCTATCCGTCATAGCTCCTAAAAGATCTTCCTTAGGGATCAATGTGTCTCGTTTTATCCTATCTGGAAAGGTTAACTTGCGTGATCGATTGTCAGATGATGGGTGCCTCCAGAGTACAAGTGATGACACAAGTTCATCTGTGGCACGTGCACAATGCCCGGCGAAGTGGACACGTCTTTTGCAAACTAAGGTTGATAATCTCAGCAAGTCTCCATATATCATTTCTAGAGTTGGGCGGTTTCGCCATGAGAGATTAAGCACTCTTCTTAAAAGACGTGTATAACATCCATCTAAACGACGCTGTTGTTTTGCTGAGAGAGTCCAAGTTTCAGAGCCATAGAGTTAGATTGGCTCAATAAGTACGCGGAAAAGTTGGATTTTGAAGTTACTGTTGAATACGTCGTGCAAAGTTGTTGATAACAATTGTACATTCCTTCTGGGTGATCGTTTGTATATCCACAGTGATAGCTGTTTTCGATGCAGTAGTGATGCGAAGGTTGCCTTGGTAGATGTTCTTGAGGAACTCCCAGAGGAAGAAACCTGGTGTGTGTGTGTGTGGGGGGGGGTCATGTCAGGCCAGTGAGGTGGCTTTTTCGACTTCAGTTTTGCGGCTGCTGGGACGTTCCCCAAACTTTTTCCAGAGATATGCATTAGCAGTGTGAGGTAGAGCACCATCCTACTGGAACCAATGTTCCTACTCGAGCTCTCCCAGAACTACTCAAGCACTGGAATTTAGCGATTTTTGTCACTATCACTGCGTCACCCCGATCATCTTCAAAGAAAAATGGTCCAATGGTGCCATACTTGAAGATGGCGATCCATGTCGTGCACCTTTTTAAATGCAGACGTCCAACGACTCTGTGACGGTTCTCGTTTCCCCCAAACGCCCAGTTCTTGGTCTTGACCATTCAAAAGGAAATGGGACTCATCCAAAAGCCAGCCATTATTCAAGAATTCCTCGTCACCATCGATCTTTTGCGAAAAACACTGACACATGGATACACTCTTTTTCCATATCGGCCTGGGTCAGTTGGTGCTTGATCCTGTAGGGATGAAATGTGAGTTTCTTAATCAGAATGCGCCGAACCGAAGATACAGAGATTCCTAAGTTCTTGGTTCCTCCTCTGGACGAACTCTGGTCGACTGACTCTTGAAACCTGGCTGTCAAAGAAATTTATGCGACCATATCACCCCTTATATCTGGCCAACTTCCCAAACTTCAATTCCTTTGATCATTATATGTGGGACGCATTTAACCGAGAGACCAACATAACTTCTTGAAACACCAAAGGTGATCTGAAGTCAAGGATTATAGTAGCATTCAGAAACTTAAACAAGGAGACCGTCCAGAAAAGATGCAGGAGATTCTGAAGTCATCTGGATGCCGTAGTTGAAGCCAAAGGCGATTTTATCGATTAAATTTACTCTTTATTATTTAAAGATATTTTTGTGTCATTTTGTTAAGTATATCTGTTAAAATGTCAGTGTTATTTTAATTTTTGCGTAATTTATACGACAATTTATCCATCGTATCCTGTATATGAAGAAAAACTGAAAAGTTTGTCTATGCGGGATTCAGATTATAATATATATACGTAAATGTGTGTGTTTGTTTGTTTTTGTGCGTCTGTGTATATCTAGTAGATACTAGGCTGGTTTTTCGTATTTTGATCTGGAGACTTTTTTACATGTATATCATACGTTGGACTCTTTAAGAATGGATTCAATAAAGGTTAGTGATGTTGTATCATGTTCTGGACGTGTGTGTATAGTGGGTGATTAGGCACACTAGATTTTAATAGTAGGTCAGATTAGGCACAATAAATTTGAATAGTAGGGCAGATTAGGCACACTAGATTTGAATAGTAGGGCAGATTAGGCACACTAGACTTGAATAGTAGGGCAGATTAGGTACAATAGATTTGAATAGTAGGGCAGATTAGGTATAATCGATTTGAATAGTAGGGCAGATTAGGTACACTAGATTTGAATAGTAGAGAAGAATAGGTACACTAGATTTGAATAGTAGGGCAGATTAGGCACAATAGATTTGAATAGTAGGGCAGAGTAGACACACTAGATTTGAATAGTAGGGCGGATTAGGCACAATAGATTTGAATAGTAGGGCAGATTAGGCACAACAGATTTGAATTGTAGGGCAGATTAGGTACAATAGATTTGAATAGTAGGGCAGATTAGGCACAACAGATTTGAATAGTAGGGCAGATTGTCATCACAATAGATTTGAATAGTAGGGGCAGATTAGGTATATATAGATTTGAATAGTATATATAGATTAGGCACAATAGATTTGAATAGTAGGGCAGATTAGGTATAATCGATTTGAATAGTAGGGCAGATTAGGTACACTAGATTTGAATAGTAGGGCAGATTAGGCACACTAGATTTGAATAGTAGGGCAGTAGTAGGTGTATAATTATTAGTAATCGCTCGTATTACTTTTGCCGTAAAGAATAATGTTCTTTTTTTTATTGGGGTAGCATTTGAAATAAAAACATGCCCAAGAGAAACGGAGATATATTTAGGAGAAAAAATAAATCTAACACGAATGCAGATGTCGGTATATTGCTTACAATGTAAAAGCAATTATATCTACGAACATAAACTATATATACTTTTAAAAAACAATTTGAATTTGGTTGTAATATGAAAGGAAATAAAAACTGGTCAGAACTTTGATTTTACAAGTGTCGCCCTTATTAAAAAAAGAACATAATTCAGAACAAAATGTTTGTTCAAAAACAACTGCACAAGCCGTGGTGTCTGTGTTGTGGTGACTCAACAAGTCACTACGCACTTTCTTTCCAAACACTGGTATTAACAACGGAAGAGAACGACAACATTATACAGATTGTAGAGAATGCCTTTTGATCAGACCTCGTATATATATATATATATATATATATATATATATATATATATATATATATATATTGTGTGCATTTAGGCAGAATTTTTTTCATTCATACATGTTTCATTAAATAATATATTGACAAGTGTTGTCTATTTATTTTATGTAAAATCTTTTCATAACGTCTGATAAGCTTAATAACATTCTCATTAAACGAAGAAAGAAAATCACAATATTGATACATATTTTTCTTCCAATATATTATTTAATGAAACATGTATGAATATATATATATATATATATATATATATATATATATATATATATATATAAATATATATATAAATAAATATATGAAAATATATAGAAAATAGGAGGGAACCAGTTAGGTAAATAATCCAAAGTCCCTTAGTATTTTAGTTATTATTTTTAAAAAATAGTATATATACAAAACAATATAGCATAAATATAATTATTTATTTAAAAATATGATTCCAAATCGCTACATAAGAGGTCTCATGTTTCAAAACAAGAGCCGAAAACTTCAATATAATCCTTTAAATTAAATTGAGTTTAAATTAAAATGAAATCCGTTCCATCTTCAAGCGAAATTTTTGTTGGAATAACGTATATCTGAAATTTACATGTTTTAAAAATTGAAATCAAAATCTCCATGGTAACAACAAGGCGAATTGTTTAAATTGGGTAGGCGAGTGTAGGGTGTTAATAATAAGTAGCGGTATAGAGATACTTTCAAGATGTCAAGTCGGGGAAAGGTGGGGTGTCTAAAATGAAACGGAAGATGTATTAACCATCGTCTAGTTTGTTTGTCGATAGAGATTTATTTATTTATTTTATATAAATATATATATATATATATATATTTAAATTGTGTGTATTTAGGCAGCATATTTTCATTTATACACGTTTCATTAAATAATATAGACAAGTGTTGTTTTTTTTTTAGTATGTGTTAATTATAAACAAGATGAACACATACTAAAAAATTTAGTAAATTCTAATATATCAACTACAGATCCTAGCAAAAAAATTAAATTAATCATATACTACACTAAATCTAGTATATCCAACTTAATACTTCGCAATGATTCTTCTCCCCAGATTAGCGATTTGCAAAAAAGGTGGATTTTCCACCATGGTCGACAACAACATAGACATTCCTACGACACCGGTTTCTGAAACGGTGTCGCCTGTCAAATCGGCCTGGTCAGAAAACAGGCCACTTCAGAAAGATGGCAAATTTTATGCCTCGCAAAGAACAATATTTGAGGAGACGTTTAAAGGAACGAATTCCTCACAATTAAAGAGGCACTCAA